AAAGAAGAGTACCTCACCCTTCTGCCAGTCCTACAAGATAAAGGTAGAAACACAACATACTTGGAGGCTGTACTGCAATCCTGCACACTCTTGCCCTGTGATAATAATAACGCATTTACCAGACCCAGCTCTGTGAGCAGCTTTGGACACTGTCACCAGAGGAAGCTGCTGAGCTCAGTCAACGGCTCTGGGCTATCCAGCAAGGAGCAAACCCTGACCCGTTGCTGTCACCCCATTCAGAGCATGGTTTAGTTGGAAGTCAGAGACAATTTTTTTCCCTGGGAGGAAATTTCTGGAGTGTTCTATCCCCTACAGATCTGTTACTACCTGGCCACAGGGCCCACATCTCCTGTTCTTGATAGGACCTTACTCAGAGAATGACATTTTCCCCCATTTCAGAAAGCTCCAGGAACAAGGTTTAAAGCACATGAAGTTCACTGTGATACAAAGCTAGCAGGTTAAAAGTTAACAGCTTATTTTTCCATTACATTTTTACAAAGTAATGCTGACGCTGTCTGTTCCCCTGATGATTCTTACAAGGGGCGTATTTGCAAACAATGGTAAAATGACTACACCAGCATGTTAACGTGAACAGGCGGCTATCAGGATAACTTGTCTATAGACACCACAGCACTGAGAAGGGCAGCTGTTACCAAGGCAAACAGCTGAAATAAAAGAGGAAGAAAGGCAGCTTGCAAATAACCACCTTTGCTAGTCCAAGTGGCTCTTAATACTCTTTGTGTAAAGACACACTGTTGTTAACATCTGCTTGAATTTAATCTGAAGAGTTGTTTGCAAATAGCAAAGCTGGGAAGCACCTGCTGCTTTAGGATAGATGAACTTTTGCGGGCATATAACATGCTATTTTATTCCCAGCAGCTCTCACAAACACCACCCTATACAGAACAGAAATGAATGGACTTTGTGAAGGGCACTTTAGCTGAAATTGGATAGGACTATACACAAGTATTGCCAGATACTAGAACAGTTTAAGAGACTGGTTCAGAAATATTCCAGAGCCTGAGGGTCTAAGTGGTCTTAGAAGGGTGACTAAGGAACGAAGCAAACCAATTGCCAGTGACTTAGGTTGGTAACTTGGAGGTCTATGTATTAACAGAGGTCAAAACTAATCAAAAAAGAAAGTTCCTGGAACCACTTCACTAGGCTGATTTTAAAAGCACCCTTTGCATCAGTGTTTTTGAGTGCAGCACAGGTCCTATCTTCCTGGCATGCAGGGAATGCAAGAAGTGCAACGTGTCTTCTGTATTTCCAGTTCTTTTTTTTTTTTTTTTTTTTTTTTGCTTTCTGTTGCCTTGTTAGAGTTTCCCTGAGCCACTTTTACCACAAAAAAATTTCACCTCACCTGCATGTTAGTCTGATTTCAGTCACGTAAATCAAAATGGCAAAGAAAAAAAGACAAAAGCCAGAGTGAGACCGAACCCCTCTTTACAGCAAGTCTCTGTATGTGTCCGTGCCATAAGACTATACATCTGCAGTGGTGCAGTTAGTCCCTCCCTGTGCTTTAGCGACCTTTTTTCCTTTGATTTATCCTTCAATTTTGCCTGGCCTAATTTATGTTTGAAATTGTTTGCAGCTTCCAGAATGGCCATAGATGTTCAGACATAATTGAAAATATAATGATACAATGTCTGTTAGCTTGTGTAGCTGTAACTCAGGTTATAAACAGAACAAGAATTTGTCATGCAGGAGGAAAGTTAACAACAAAGGTTCAGTCCATCTGTTGTTTCTGTGACTGCACCAAATTAAGAGGAAAAGCGGGAAGGGTGACTAAACCCCAGGTGTCTTCCGAGACTTTGTGACAGCTCCTGTGTTCTTAATTAGATCTAACTCATAATCTTTTGAGCTCAGTGGAGATAGCAACTGACTTTGGTGGAGGGACCAGGTTTGTAAAGAAAAGAGGAGTCAGATGGGCAGCGTGAGTGCAAGGGATAAATTTTTCTTCCTGCTCTTGGAACCCACTCAAAGGACTAGAATGTCTTCACTCCTCAGGTCAAGAATTGAGATTTTTGGCTAGACTTGTCTTTTCATCAGTACTACTCTAGACAGGAAAGATGCTCCTAGTTTCCCAGATCCTTTACTACCTCTGTTCTTTCTTTAAAAGTAAATAAGACATTCTCCAGTCGTACAAAACCAAGTCCAAACTTGATTGATGCATTTAAAATTCCTTTTTGTCTGTACTTTGGCAAGATAGCTCTTTCAGAGTTCTGGGAGAGAGATCATCCACTTCCACAGATAAATCCCTCTGAGTTTTGCTTCCACCTTGGTTACACAGACATTCCCATACTTTTGTTGCCATTTGGGAAACTGCCTTTGATGCACAACTCAGCAGCATCATTTGAGCCTGGAGTCTCCTATGTGGTCTGTGATGGCCTTCAGTTTGACACTTTAAGCAAAGAGACTGGCAGGGTGACACACCATTCTGTGTTGCATGGAGAATACCCAGATAACTTCTCCATCTCTTTTTCTCTAATGCATCTTTGCAGCCTTTGCAGATTTAGTTGGTGTTAATGCCAAATGAACATACGAGTCTTACACACACAAGTTTCTGGAAGTCACAGCACTGTATTTATGCAGGTGGAAGCAATAAGGTATGTTGGGGAAATCAGATGTCAGTCTGGAATTTGGGAAATCAGATTTTTATCTCAGACTACAAGTTATTAACCACTATCAATACTACTATTAACCTCCTCCCATAAAGCATACATAATTCATAACTGCTTGTTCACACTGCACTGTGGACGGTGAGTGCCATTTCTGGATATCTGAGTATTTTTAAAAGCCCTGCAAATGCAATGTTCATAATTCTGGATAACCAGGACATAGTGCATTCAGTTGCTATGGTTGCAGGCAACAGATAGGGAAGATCTCTATCGCACCTCAGGCAGCAACAACTGATTGTGCCACTAAATCCACTTACATTCTTCTTTTTTATTATAATTCACAGTTGTGCTGACTCTGCTGCAAGTAACTCTACTGGCATTAGCAAAGGCAGGAAGACAGGCACTGTAAATTGAGGGCCCAATGAAGAAGTTGTCCCCAGCCTACAACAATAGCCTGTAACTACTAAGTATGTAAGCAGAAACACTCTGAGTTAAATGTATCCATGCAACAATGAAATGTCTCTAAAAGCAGTCTACATCAGTTCCGGTATATCTTGACAATAAATGATAATCAATTCCAAAAGGGGATTCTTCTCATTTGTTTACATTTGATCAAAAATAATTAATAGCATAGAAGAGATCTCATTCCCTTAAGAGACCTTGGATCCTTTCAGAAACAGTCAAACTGTGCCACTGCATCAGTTTTATTAGGCACCCAAGTACTGGGGATTCAACGGTCTTTTTAGTGCAATGCAGTTTTAACATGTTTAACATCACTAACGTGACAAAGAATCATGCTATGTATTCATCACTAACGTATTCCATAAACAGCTCTTTCAAATGCAACAGTACTTACATGCTGAAGATGCTTGTGCCAATATAGGGTGTACATTAAGAGGTTAACTAATATTATTCCCTTTCCATGCTACTCTAATTAGGGTCATAAAGACTAAGAGGTTTGAATGCAGTTATTTACTCAAATGTGCCAGGCTTCTTTTTTTAGAAAAAAAGTATGTCTGAAGAGAAAAAAAAAAACCAGAGCATTTGTACCTCAGCCACTTTCCCATTACCAGTTTGGGATTATAGGCCAGAACAAGTTTACTTTTTAAAAAATAGCTACAGGTTTCACTCATGGGAGATGGATGAACTAGGTGGATACTTTGCTAGCAGTTTCAGTTTAGTGGAAAGCAGAAAGGAGTGGCATCATAAACGGTTAAAAATATCCTCTGAGTCCAGCTAAGCAGTGTCTGTTTCCAGTATTGATTACCAGGTATGCACTTTCAACAACCTGTATCTCTTAACAAAGGTAGCCAATTGGAGGCTCTGTAAGCCCCTGTCATCTTCCCATTGTATCTGCCCACCTAAGAAATACGTACTAGTGCAATGCACAACGTCTGTCTAGTTACCTAAATTCATCAGAACCAATCTAATTTTTCACAACGGTTCTTTTAAAACACTCAGCTCTGCTGCAGAGAGGTGGTATCAGAGTGACACTCAGTGGCAGGACAGAAAAAGACATTCTCAATTTCTCAGATTCTATCTAACATTTTTTATTAGGGTGTGTAATAATAATAGTGCATAATTAGATCATTAATAGTGCATAATTAGATGTCTGTTTTATACTATCCTATGTAATCATTATAATTCAGACCAAAACATGTACTTTTGGTTATGCAAACTGAAAAAAAGATTGGATTACTTACTTTACCAGGCCCCCCTCACTCATAACTTGTGTGCTGTGATCTCCTGTGACTGAAAAAAAAAAAAAAAAAGAGAAATTGAACTAAAAAATACTGAATTTCAGAAATAAGAGACTTGAATCACCATTGTTTTACATTCTGCTGTATTTGAATCTTTGCAGATTACTTGAACAGTCTGAAGAATGGCATTTTACAATTTAACATGTTGCATATGTATAACTGACAGTTCATAACCTTCACAGTTATTTGTGTTACATCAAAACATTTTCTGTATGTTTCTGCCTGCACACCAATCTATGGCTAACTGAATTTGGTATCTGAAAAAAATGATACATTTTCCCTTTTATGTAAATAAATACTGAAATAAATTATGGAATCTTTACTATTAAAGATTTTTAACATCGGTCTTGACAAGCCTTTGAGAGAAATATTTTAGGTGGAGGAGTCCTGCAGTAAGGTAGCCCTGTGGACTGTCAGTCTTTCCAGCCTTGCCTGCTCCAATGCAGGGAAAGATGCACAGTATTACATTCAATTATGGTGTCAGAATTTCTCCTGAGCCTGTGGCTGCCTAGAATCCCTCCAACTCACAGCCCACAAGGATGTTAATAAATATGAGTTATCATAGGACAACATTCCTTGCAACACCGTATGTAAAACCATTTCCATCTCTCTCAAACAGGGTCCTGTTGCATCACCCATGTCCATGCGATCTGTTTTAACAAGCGGGTCATGCGTCTCCCCACCGCCACCGCCACCACCGCCACCACCTGGACCTCCCCCCATCTTTGATACAGAAACCGTAAAGGATGAAGGAACTGCAGCTCGCTCAGCCCTATTTGCACAGCTTAACCAGGGAGAGGCAATTACCAAAGGTCAGGAGAAAAGAAATCCAATTTTGGTCCACGAGTCAAACTACATCAAGAGCCGCTATATGTATTAACCTAACTTCCACTATATTTTTAAGTTACATTCAAGCCACTCAGATCTTTCTGAGGCTTGCAGTCAGTCTAATGGATGAGATTGCCTACCAAAACCCCTTTAGAGGCAACAGCACACAAACATGTTCAGCATACCTGCAATTCACACCATTTATTTAGAATCATCTTTTTAATTTGAAGGCAGCCAAGCTGGACATCTTCAGTCCCCAGTAGCTGGTGAACCTCTAAGTTGCAATTGCAATAAAAATTTATCCCCCTTTCTGATTTACATTTACACTGAACCTGTGTCAAAATGTGTTACATCAGGTGAAAAGGTATGGCTCACAGTTCAGTGGGGAGTACAATAATAAAGCTTTTGGTATTAATACTGGACAGTTGTATTTACAGTGGATGGCTAGGAGTTGAAATACGATTGATACATCTGTCTTTAATGCTTCAGGGACAGGTCAAATATTGTCATAAATTAGAAAAAGTATATAATTTTTATGGATGGAAAAAAATGATATAACAAGGTCTTAGAGCTTGTTGCAGACAGAGAGGGACTAGAAGACATTGCAGCATTTCCTGTTAAAGATACTAAGATAGCCCATCCACAGTAAAAGAGGTTTTAGATGAACTGCTAAAAATATGTAGGCAGTTACACTTTACGTTGTTACCCAGGCAAACCTTGAGGAAATAAAAAATGTAAATTCACATATTAATTTACACAATTACAAATGAACCTTTCCTGCTTAAATATGGATACCCTTAGGAGTGGACAACAGACTCTCTTTCATTAACACCCTTTTTTTTAGGGCTTCGACATGTCTCTGATGACCAGAAGACTCACAAAAACCCCAGCCTACGTGCCCAAGGTCCATCTGTTCGTTCTCCAACAAAAAGCCATACTCTGAGTCCCACCTCTCCCAAGAATTCGCCGCAGCAAAGCCATCCCCCTGTCTTGGAGCTAGAGGGAAAGAAGTGGAGAGTGGTGAGTTCCAGTCACACCTCTGAACTGTGCCCTGCACATTACAAACCAGGTTGAGCACTGAAGTGTCTTGCAAAAGGCTGTCCATGATCAAGGCACAACAAATCAAAGTTGCAGCTGAAATGGGCTGAGTCTTGCATCGCTCTGCCTTGCTACAGTTCAGCTTTTACTATTCTGTAGCATCTAAAGTTAATTAATTTGTCTCTGAGAATCATATACTAATTCATCTGAACTGGAGAATGTCAGAATAAATTCCTTGCAAAATCAGACAACCCCCCAGAAACAAGTCCAGTGGAGAACTCCAATTGAAATCCCTTCTTGCAGGTCATTTGTAGAAGTAAGAGATAACAGCATTATCACAGAGCAATTTCTCCAGCTTTGTTAACCAATGGAATTATACATTTATTTTTCATTACCCATCCCATGCAAGTATGTCCTCCATGCTTAAAAGTAGAGAAGTGTTTTCCCTTTGCTCATTCTACAGATGGAAAAGATTAATTTGTTTAAAGTTTGGGAGTTAATTTACCTCTTCATAACACACTATTATAGACCATTGTATAACATTTGGGGGAACAAAAACTTGCTCCGTTCTTCAAGGTGCCGGTCTAAACTGGATGGGAGCCAAGCAACAGTTTTGCAAGTGCATTTTTAAATTGTTGTGAGCATAATGTCTTTGCTACTAAATTAATGGGTTTTGTCGTGGTCTGTGCTAAATTCTTCAGTTCTGCAGCTCTACAATTTGCACGTCATCTAAGGGTAAAATATGTGATGGCCAAGCAGATTAGATTTTTAAGCCACAGGAAGGATATTGCTCTGTTGTAACTGAAGATGCAATGACTCGAGAATAAGTTGTACTAAACTCTGTCTGACTGTTAGCTAGTTAAAGACAACCAATTAAATAAACTTTCTTTTGAAACAGGAATATCAAGAGGATAAGAATGACCTGGTCATTACCAACACTGAACTAAAGCAAGTGGCCTACATTTTTAAGTGTAGCAAATCTACGCTTCAGATAAAAGGAAAAATCAATTCAATTACTATTGGTGAGTGGATAGCTCAGCTGGGCTTTAAATGCCAATCTGGAAAAAAATTACTTATGTGATTAATAATGCATCTGAATCATTCCATTCCCTTTAGTGGATTGATCACGTGAGTAAAATCACTCAGCTATGCAGGTGCAAGACTGGGAATTTTCATAGTTAATGTAGCAGGTGTGCATGTATTTGCTTTTATCTTGCCTTTCTTATTTATGATTGCTTTTATTTTAGACAACTGTAAAAAGTTTGGCCTTGTGTTTGACAACGTCGTGGGAATCGTGGAAGTGATCAATTCCAGGGATATTCAGATTCAGGTAAATATCTATTTGAAAAACAAAGATAGACAGAGAATAATCAGGAAAAATCAGGCCAACATGTAGCTTCAAGAGATTTCAAAAACTCATGGGAGCACAACAAAAACAAGAGTTTGATGCATCCAAATGTATCTCTATATGCACTAAATTCTGCTGATGGATTTAGAAAATGCCTATGAAAACTACAGACCATCAGAGAACAAACCTCCCTTAGCCCAGTCCCTTCTGGTTCCAGTGAAGCTGAGAGATGTATACACTGTAAGAAGTGTTACTTCTGGCCCTAATTTTCTTGCTTTCACGCTAAACAGCTCCTAGCACTTGGAAGTTCAGCAGAGCTTATGGCACAAATTCTGGCAGTTAGCTAATTGATTTCTAAGCCCAGAAGTTGGTTATTTCTTTTTTTCTTATTCTTTCAATTGAAATGTTTCTAGACTGTCAAAGGACAACTAAATGATCTAAGGTGAAAGCAGGTGCTGGGATTTTGAAAATCTCCCCTGACAGTGACATATGACACATTACATGAGTAAGTAATGTAGTCACTTGCCTACAAATGGCTGCGAACCTCTGCTGGTTTTGTCTTTGATACCCAGTAAGCAAAGCTTCATCAGAGATAATTTTCAATGTGGTTTTCATGAAAAGAAAATATATGTATTTTAAATCCATATATTGCCTTCTCAGCTGGGGACGTGTGTGCCATCAGCTAAAGATCCCAGGCATTTATTTGAGTGGTTTTTTAAATAATTAGATTATTTTTATCATTACCTCTAGAACATGGAAAAGCTGAAAGAATTCATATGTAATGAATAGCAAAACCACAGCTTGTTAATACTCAAATAAAAGGCAAATATCTTTTCTAAGAACTGAAATACTTTTGATTAAGCAGGTTCTATGAATATTGTATAAGGCCTCTATGCCATGGAGCAGAATTGAGTTTCACTTAAGAAGGCAGAGTCTGGTTATATGCTGCTTGAATCAGGCAGCTGCTGCAGGGTTTGAGTATGCCAAGTGGTGAGCACCTCAAATTTCTCAGTATCTGTAAGACCTAAGCTTATAATTTCCAAATACGTGACTTGTTAATGCAACAAATTTCAGTAAATTCATCCTATAGATTTTGATAGAAATAGTTTCTTCAGTGCCATATTGCTTGTCTCTTCTTTCTCTCAGTGGTATTTTTTTTCCTCCCCGATGTTTGCAAAATTTATTCAGCACACCCTCCTTTAGTTCTCTATTAAACAAGAACCCATTAAAGAAAAGAAAGTTTAAAATGCATTGATCCACTACATAGATCAGACTTCAGGACCAGGATAGGATACAAGAGGACAGACCACTTGCTCTTGGTTTGCTGTCACATTTAAGGAACTGAAGCTGAAAATATATTCTTAACTTGAATGATGGGAGACACTCTTCCATTAACAAATACATATCTATCACATGCTGTTACTGTTTTATGGCTCAGAATAACCTCTGCCCTTTTGATGCATTGTCCAGAGTATATTGTTGTCCCTGCTAGAGAGGGTAGGAGGAGAAGGGAGAACTTTTACTGAGAACCAGCAAGTCAGCCAGTTAGCCATGAAGAAATCTTTTAATAATCTGTAGAATTGTAGACAAGAAATTTCCCTTTCTCCCCTCAAGTAAATCTTGTGCTTGCTTTTAAAATGACATAATACCTTTAGAGATTTAATTTAATTGATCTCAGTACTTTTTTAGAACTGTAGCTTGCCTGAAGGGGATGAAACCCCTTTCCTATTGTATGCTGTAAAACCTGGAAGAGCTTTGAAGTCTTCCGAATGTGTTACAAATTACATGTTGAGTACTACTGTATGCTGAGATCTTTCATTTGCCCTTACTGGGTTGGAGTTGACGTTTGATTTCTTAACCAGTCCTCACTGATGATCAAGGTGAACACCACCTAAATATCAGCACAAAAGTGCCACTGAAATGAGAGAGAATCAGGAAAGCACTTTCATCAAACTGTATATTAAAAGCTTACTGTATATGTTTGCTGTTGTGTATAGATCTTGTTACCACCACCAGGAATTCTCAGTGTCTCACAAATCAAATAGAGGCATCATGCAGGCAGCTGACACATAGATCAGATGTTGGTGGCCAAAATTAGACCTGGCAGCCAATGAGGATTTTATTAACAGCATCTTTGTGTGCATTTTAAGATTTGATATTAAGTATATTTTATTTTGCAGGTGATGGGGAAAGTGCCAACCATTTCTATTAACAAAACAGAAGGCTGCCACATCTACCTCAGTGAGGAATCATTAGATTGTGAGATTGTGAGTGCCAAGTCATCCGAAATGAACATACTCATCCCCCAAGATGGTGATTATGTGAGTGAGATATTTGTCAAGCTTTCCTCACCCTTCCCTGCTAGTCTTGGTAGCTAATAGCACTTAAACTGCTAGAATAGAAACTAAAGATACCACACATATGACATCACCAAAAAATGATCCAAAACAATTGAATTTCTATGTTCCGATACCTTAGCTATCAGTGCAGGAAGAACTCCTTATTTGCTGGGGCACAAAGTGATTTCAAAGATCAAACATGACATTATTTCTTTCAATTTTGATAGCTAATGGCTTCACCTCCTGTCCATTTAATTTTCTTTTTTGATATCTAAACATAATCTCCCAAAGAAACTCACTTCACACAAGAGCACTCAAGCCTCAAGATGATGATGTCAAAACTAAGTTAAATATAATACTACTACGAATGAAATAATACAGTATAATATACTTGTTTTTTCTAAAGCTGCTGATACATGGGTAGCATCTGTAGTACATTCTAGCATTTTCAACACAACATCTTTAAAGCCCCTTAAACAGGTACATTTTCCCGGCTCCTTTTCTGTTCTAGTAAGATTTTCATACTATGCCCACCGGCATTTCCAGTAAAGTTGTGCTCTGTCGCTTCACACACTAGCAAGGGATCATGCAGGCAAAGCATACTCATAATTGTTTCCTAGTTTCTTCAACAGAGCAGTGTTGAAATTGCACTGAATGGCCATAGACAGAACTCAAATTTCTCATTAATCTTTTGGGCTGGAATTGTGTTTCGTAAATGGGTTTAGGCTTGATAAAAGAAAATATGTAACAAGAGAATCCTCATGCACCACATTTCCAAAAGTAACTGATGCATGACCAGCTTCAGAAAACTAAAAAGGGAACAATTTTCAGTAGGTGCAAATTAATCTATTTCTTAAAAAAAAAAAAAAGGTCCTTTAGATGAATCTTGTCTCAAATTATGATATAATCTGAAATTACTGGCTATCAAAACTCCTATTTGAGGTCTGAACAAAAAACCCCTTTCTCTTTACATTGTTTTTTTGTTTACTGCAAACAGAGAAAGACCCAATGACATCTCTCATCCTTTCACCGAATACATGGAATGGAAGGAGACTTTCTTTGATGTTCTGCTTCGTTTTGCGTACCCCACAAGGGATGCTGAGTCTTTTGAAGCGTATCACACTTAAAATTATAGGGTTCTTTTCTATTTTATTCTTCCGTATTATAATACTGCTTTCGTCCTTAAAATTAGACTCCTCTCTAAATCTCCACATCTAAAGCCTTTCTACTGTCTTTCAACCCAGACGCTGATGGAATCTAAAGTCATTTCTGACATGAGGCTTATTTACTCAGTTATTCCAAATAATTGTGTGAGAGGGATTATTGCAAAGTAGTACCATACCAAGGCCATTTGAAACTGGGTAGCAACAAGGCTTTTTCCTGTGTGGTATTGTAAAATAGCTTCCTAGGGTAATGAAGAAGGCCTCTCTCTAATCCTGACATGTCTGAGCTATCAATGCCTTCTCAGTCATGTAGCACTAATAGTATTCCACCAGTTTTCATGAGGTATCCATTGTTTATTTAACCATCATTGTCGCTTTTGTTTCTTACCAGAAAGAATTTCCGGTTCCTGAACAGTTCAAGACAGCATGGGATGGATCTAAGTTGGTCACTGAACCTGCAGAAATTGTGGGTTAACTTCCTAACGCCATACAGCACTTGCTGACCGTGACCAGACCGCAGCCAGCGTCAACAAAGCAGTAATGTAAAGAACTAGAAGTAGCAGGAGTTCATTCTGCTGTGATAGGCCTTCAAGCATTAGCTCTGCATGCTTGAAACAATAACACATCTGGCACGCTTTTGTTAGGCATCCCAGTTATTTTCCACGTTTCCACACAGTTTGCCTTCACATACAATTTGAATTCTAAATGCTGTCATGTGAATGTAATGGATTAAAACCCCCGCCCTCCAGTCACATCATGGGTTTGCAATACTGCGTACATTAAGCCAAAATACTGCATGATACACTTTGTTACCATCTTGCTTCAGTGCATTCCTTTTTCTTTTTCTGCTAATCAAAAACAGCATTCAGACTTTAAGGTATTTATTTTTACCTATTAAGCAATTCCTGTATGATGCAGTAAAAGTGTACCCTTAGCACGTAGTTCTGTTGTGATCATAATGGGTTTTGTTTTAAACAAGCGAAAAAAGGACAACTTTCAGCAATACATTTTGGTAACAGAAGATAAAAACAATCTGGTATTTTAATCAAACACTTTTCTAATATGTATATTTAGAAGAGCCCTATGTTTTCTGTGAGGCAAGACTTTATTATGGTCCACAGACTCACTGTTGCCCTCTCATTTCTTGCAAATTAGTCATGTAAGCTGAAACCTTGCAGCAAATCATTGAAGGATTTTTGTTCCTTGGATTTTTTTTTTTATTTTTGTGAGACAATCTCTCACTCTTTAAAAATTCACATTGTTTCTTGCATCCTGTTCAGAAAGCTGAGGGAGCCATAAATGTCAGATACCAGCTAGTTTCCTTACTAATAACGCTCCTTTAAAATATTGCTGCTGTAGCTCCTATTCATTAAAAATATCTTCCTGTTTCTTCCCCACATTTGTAGGACTTACTCAATTTCAAACATGTCCACAAAGCAAAGCCATAGGTTTGTATCATACTAATTCTGAGCTCAAATAAAGGGGCAATGTTCAGCCCTTTGATTTTACTTTATAGTCCCTATTGTATGTGCTTTTTTAACAAAGGTGGAGTGTTGTATACATTTGTACTATTTCAGCAGACAGTACGAATAAAATTTTAAAAATTTGAAAAGTCAGCTTATGTTTTTGATCACTTGTAATACTTTGTAACAGTGAAATCACAGTGAGACGCTTGCAGAGCTAGTTACAAGCTAAATTTTGTGCCTAATTTACCTTGAAAGTACATTCATTCTTGAGGGTTTTTAAGTATATCTTTGATTGTAAACCCTATTCAATACAACTGATAGCGCTCATTCCGTACAGTTTTGCTATCTGATGTTTAATCTATGTGTATAATGTGTTTGCTTCAATACATATCATTTTTTCAACAGTAAACTTCTTATGAAATAAAAAGGAAAATGTACTTGTTTAAATACAAAGTTGTTCAGAGCTTGTTCCATTGCAATGTTTGTCCTATATGCTTTCTCTTTCTTAAAAGCTTGATTAAGGAAAAGTAGCTCCTCCTCCCATTTCATTAAATATTTGCTGCTGTAATCCACCTGACCATAAATAGTGGGTATCTGCCAGCAGATAAACCTGAAGTTTTTTGCATATAACTTTGGTGACAGCCAGAGAATTGAGCTTTTCATGATTCTCACTTCTAGATACACATGTATCTTTCAGAGATTATGTGCAGGGAGATGATCATCACCTGGTGCAAGTTTATAAGGTTTGCCTTCTATTTTTAGCATTTCCTGTTTGTTTCCCTATGTGGCTTTGGATGTGTCCCTCCTGTGTTAACAAACCACAAGCAGTCCACTCCGTATTCCACTCGGATGTGCTTCATGTCTGAAAAATGGGCATCGCATACTGGTTGTGGTAAAAGGATTGTTGAAGGATTGTTTAATCCTTAAATCATAATTTGTCTCATAAAATAATCACGTTCTGGAGCACTCTGTCCTGAAATACCGACTCTTGTTTTCATCCAGCATCAAATAGGGATCAAGTCATTATGCGGCAACAGGAAGCCACTGAATCCTTTGGAGGTGTGATGCAAAACAAGTATCAAATGCCTGATGATAAACAGAAAGCAGCAAGACAGCTCGAATCACTACACAGGCAAATTCTTTTCGTTCCTCCTAGGGATTTAACTCCCCCGTCAAAAACAAACTGTGTGAAGGTTGGTCTGATTCTTCTTTGAAATGTTTGAGAGCAAACTCCCTTGTGGCTAGACCTTCAAGTCCATGCGTTATTGGACACAAAAAAAATAGGAGAGAGACTTTGAAAAGATGCAAATAGCTTTTATCCAGTACAGTCAGCCACATGGCAAAAAAAAAAAAAAAAAAAAAAAAAAAAAAAATTCTATAACCAGCTTTTGTCAGTTCTGGTCCTCATAAAAAATACTAGTCGTACATTTCCTGTAGGTTGGACTGTTCTTTCCCTGCAAGCTGTCTTTAACTTCAAAAATATAAAGGAGTGGTAAATAAACAAAATAAATTCAAGCTTCTGATTCTACGCTACATGAATCCATATCAATTAAAGGTTAAAAACACATTTTCTAAAAAATCAAGTATATCTTGAGATAGAAATGGTCAACAAGTTGCACAATGATGATTTGATGAATCATCCCAACCACCATCAGTTGCGTCCACCAAGTCTTCAGCAGCACGCTTGATCTGTGTTTAATGGTTGACTCCTGCAAGGAAGGACCTGCTAAATGCTGAGCATCCCTCAGGTCCTACAGATAATTTATTTTTACCAGAGGAGCATTGCCAGCAGGTTGAGGGAAGTGATCCTCCCCCTCTGCTCAGCACTGGTAAGGCCACACTGGGAATGCTGGGTCCAGTTCTGGGCTTCCCAGTACAAGAGAGACATGGACCTATTGGAGATTCCAGCGAAGGGCCACAAAGATGATGAAGGGACTTGAGCATCTCTCCCAGGAGGAGAGGCTGAGAGAGCTGAGACTGTTCAGCCTGGAGAAGAGAAGGCTCAGGAGAGAAGTGTGTATAAATACATGAAGGTCAAGTGCAAAGAGTACAGAGCCAGACTCTTGTCAGTGACGTCCAGAGACAGGACCAGAGGCAATGGGCACAAGCTGAAACACAGGAGGTTCCCTCTGAACATCAGGAAACACTTTTTCATTGTCCAAGGGACTGAACACTGGCTCAGCGTCCCCAGAGAGGTGGTGGAGTCTCTCTTATTGGCAGCATTCAAAAGCTGCATGGACATGGTCCTGGGCACCCAGCTCTAGGCGGCCCAGCCTGAGCAAGGGGATGGACCAGATAACCTGCAGAGGTCCCTGCCAACCTCAGAACTCCTGTGATTACTTACTTGCTTAGTTATTTAGAATTTAGAATATTGGTTACTAAGAATTAGTGAAAATTAGATGTACTGAGGTATTAACTCCATGTATCCACCAGATGGCAGAAAACGGCTGAGGCCAGGCTCTCGCAAGCTCTTGCTGTTAATGAAAAAATGCTGGACAAAGGATTTACAAAGGATGAAGTAATCCTGAAATATCTTTTTGGGTGCCAAATTTTTGTAGAGGAAGAGAGAACACTCCCTACTCCACCACCCAAAACTCAGTGGTGATCTTCTAGGCTTAACCCTGCTTCCCTAAGTCTTGGTGCACGCCAAGGACCCGATCTGATCACCCATAACCACCAAAGACTCTTCTTCTCCAAACCCCTAGTTCCAGTGCTGCGTCAACGGAGGCACACTCATATTTCCTCTCTGGGAACATTAAAGAATGTGATAGGGAATTAGGGAACTGGTAAGGCTTCCAAGTGCCACATTGCTTAGTAAAGTTGTTTTTGGGTTACTCTTTATTCAAATCAGGTGAAGGTAAAAGGCAAATAAAGGTATTTACACCCAAGTCCCAAAACAGACAGTACAGGTAAACAGGCAACCACACTAAAAATCCATGTACCCTAAGATATTCCTATGATGCAGGAGATGTGATCTGCATCCCCCAAACAAAGGAAGGAATTGAACTTCAGTTTCATACATCCAGGTGAATGCTTCAGCAATTCCCTGGGTTTAAAAATTGTTTAAAACCCTGCCTTGAAAACAAGATGCTAGAATGCGTATCAAAAATGAGCAAAGATACGTTTCTGTACCTCTGAAAAACAGCTAGATTTACAGCAGGCCAGTGCTCTATTACTTCCTATTAACTACAAAAGCTTTCCCACTCAAGAGTGACAGATGGGGCTTTTCAGCACCATTTATACTTAAAGAGCTTAAGATGGGATTCCAGTTTCCCCTCAAACTTTAACCATTGCAATATCAGCTTTTAGGTGCTCACCTCCTTCCTTTGATCTAGTTCAAAACATTTCCTCTTGCCTGAATCTCATTTCTAGAGAGCAGGACATTTAACTGCCAAGGCATTCAACCACTTATTTTCATAAATTTGCAATGAACTACCCAAGATTATCTCCCTTTCTGACTCCATTCAACAAGGGAAAGCAAACTAAAGCAGGGAGAAGTCAGTGCTACAGAAGATTGTAAGCACTCCCGTAATGTGTGGCAACCTGACACAGCAATGAAACAAGACCATTTGTCACCAAAAGCCAAAACTGTGAGTGTCCCACCACTGGCAAGCACTTGTTACAGCATCTCTTTATCATATGCATCACAGAATAGAATAATCTGAATGCTTGCAGAATTTGTGTGCCTTTTGTGGGTTATTTTTTTAATGCGGAAGAATTAAAAACTAATGACTGAAAAATATGAGAATGAAGAAATGCTACATTGTCTCTTTCTATCTTCCTTCCTTCCTTTCTTTCATTCTTCATTCTCCTTCCTAATCACTTGCTATGTTTCCCAAATAATCTACCCATATTGATTTGACCCAGGTCTATGTTACAAAACACATTCTACTGTAACTAGAACAGTATCTCCATAATGAGTGGCAGCAACTAACGTAACTGCATTTCGTTAAGATGGTATGGGTAATTTGCTAAGCACTGTTGTCAATTCCCCTCAGCTTGTCTCATTGTATGAGGGACTCACACTGCAGAAACTACTTGTTTATAAATGAGTTAGGGTTACATGGGAAAATAATGTATTTGTTTTAGCCTAACAGAGAAAAGCAGAAACCTCTGGTTTTTTCAGCTATTTGCCGTGTTAAAAGAGGGAAACACTCCATGTTTACAGTATGCATTGCTAGTTCATTCCGTATGGAGATATGTTTTCATCTGTGTTACACAGAACTTGTGGTCTGGTTGAGATATTAATAGCACACGGGAACCTTTGATATTAAAAATTAATTTGGAGAACTGTGTTCTAACATGCTGCAGGGCTCCTCGTTCCTTGTTCAGTGTTTCTGCACATGAAGCACATTAATGTGACAGAGGAAAAGATGAAAAAGGAGAAATGGAAAAAAAAAAAGGCAAAATTTAGACAACACCATCAAGCTGTAGAAGTACAGAAGAGCAGTTTAAC